TCTCTCTCTCTCTCTCTCTCTCACACACACACACACACACACACACACACAGTTGTCAACCTCTAGAACAATACCAGGCTTATGGCAGGACCTCAGTAAAAATGTGACTGAAGGACTACGCATGTACCTTCTATAGTACCTCTCCTGGTGCTTGGCATTAAGTAGGCTCTCCATAAATACTTTTCATCAAACTGAAATCGCAATACCTAGCCCAATAAGAGCATGGCAGAAGGGGAAAGATCAGAAGATGACGCGTGATGGCAAAACCTCAGCTATCCAGAGCTTTCTGGAAATGAGTCATTCTGAAAGCTGAGGGTGGACCTTCAAAAATCCCGGAGGAAGATTCCTGGGGCTGCTTCTGTCTCTGAGCTTCCCTAACTTCCACCATTCCTTCTGAGGTCCCCAGTCTCCTCAATCTTCTTTTCCTTCCATTTCTCTCTTTTCTTTGTTTTTCTGTTGCTCCTTAGAAACTCCTTAGCTTGCTGGCCTATCCCAGATCCCCATTCGTTTGGGTTTGATAAGCTGGTTGCCGTCTTTCCTGGACAGCCCTTCGTGTCCTTTGCGCCCAGTCCATCTCCCCTCCCCGCCGCATCTCCTCTTCCAGAAAGCCCTCCCTGATCTCCTCGGGCTGGTGGGTGCTTCTCTCTTCTGCGCGCCTCACAGTATCCCACAGGTGTCGGTGATTACATCTTCTCCCTCGCACCCTGGACTGTGAGTTTCTGGAGGATTAGAATCCCGTCAGCCTGAAATGTTTTACGCGTGAAATTGGCCGACCTTTGTGCTTCTCGGCCACCTTTCTCTTGCTACGGCTTACTCTAAGGCACCTAGGCTTTTGTTGGTTGGCTGGATGAACTGTAACTGGGAAATCCGGAGTGCTGCCCGTCCAGGGTTTGTCTGCTGGCCTACTTCGCTTCTTCCTGCTTGTTCTACATTCCCTGTTATCTCTGTGACACTTGTCCGTGTGGCTGTGGAAAACACCAGCCCGGAAGCATGTTCTCTGCTTTGGGGAGAAGAGAGTGGCCAGTCAGGGGCTTGGCCCGGCCCTGCCTGTCCATCTTGCTTGAGGAACCAGGAGACCAGATCGCCTTCATTTGACCCACAAGCATTTCCTTGGGGATCTACTCTGTACTTGAGGCCCTGAGCTGGACGTTAGGGAGACAGAAATGGAAATCGATCTGTCCTTGCCCTGCCTCTGGCGCCCTGTGTGACCTTGAGTCCTTTCTAGGCCTCTTCCATTCACCCGTCTGAAAGTGAAGGAGGGTAGAGAGCTGATCTATAAGGGGATGTGGAGCTCTCAACATTGTGGATCTTGTCCATGCTGGAGACTCCAGCCCTCCACATCTGCGCTTTCCCCTAGAAGACCCAGGCCTGCCTCACTTACCTCTGTCCCTCCTCTCGTGAAAATTCTGAGCAGATGTGCTCCAATACATCTCACCCTGTATGTGGCCAAGTAACCCCAATAAGCAGCTTGAGAACCCCAGGTAGCTAGGGGAAGAAAAGCAAAGAGGAAGTGGACAAATGGGGTGACATGCTAGGTGGCCATCTAGGGTACTTTGGGGAATGAAAGCACACCCCAGCAGCATATCAGGAAAGTTCCCTAACCTTAACTCTGAAACATCTTAATCTTTTTTTTTTTTTGAGATTTTATTTATTTATTTGTCAGAAAGAGGGAGAGAGAGCACAAGCAGGGGGAGCGGCAGGCAGAGGGAGAGGGAGAAGCAGGCTCCCTGCCGAGCAAGGAGCCCCCTGCGAGACTCGATCCCAGGACCCTGGGATCATGACCTGAGCCGAAGGCAGACGCTTAACCATCTGAGCCACCCAGGTGCCCCATTTCTGGGATTTTCTTTTGCTTAATGTCTGTCTCCTCCACTGGACTATAAGTTCAATGAAGGCAGAAATCATGTGCCTCTTCTTCCCCGCCAAATCTTCAGCACCTACAGCAGTGCCTGGCAAACGGTAGTCACTCAGTGGGTAGTTACAGAAAAAAAATAATAAATCCAGAGGGCTTGGGACCTGGGGACGGTCTTTAATTTTGTAAAGGCAGTGTGTAGAAGCAGGCCTCTTAGCCTGAAACATAGTAGATGTTCAATAGGCATTAACTCAACTAAACGAATAATAACAGGAAACACTAACACGGTGCCTACTATGTGCCAGGCACTGTGCTAAGCACTTTACATTCATTCACTCATCTAACCCTCAGAAAAGCCCTATGAAGAAGGTACTATTACACTCCCTGTTTTACAGATGGGGAAACTGAGGCACAGAAGTTCACCAACTTGTAAGCGGCAGAGCTGAGATTTGCACCCCAGCTATCCGGCTCTCAAATCCATGTCCCTATAACCACTACACTGCCTTCCCACGAAGGTGGGATGCTCAAACTGAGATCTAGAGAGCGAGAGAGAGAGCAATTTGCAAAGACGTCACGGGAATAACATGGTGGAGACGGGCCTGGAACCCAGGTCTGCTCTCTGTGTAATGCTTCTCCCGCTCTATCATATGGTATCTGGCTGCTGATACAGAGCCCCTGGGAATAGAGGCACCAGGACGGATCTGAGAAGTCTCGCTACCTGTGCAGAAAAAGGCCCAGGTTGACCGGGTAGGTCCCCGGAGAAGACAGGAGGAGCCAAAGATCAGCATCTAGGGCAGAAACAAGTATCATCACCAGGTCTCCTTCCTTAAGCAGGGAAGTAGGTTGCTTTTCAGAGGTCCTCTTGGAGGTCTCTTGGAGGTCTCGGAGAGAATGGTCTCTTTTCCTGCGCTCATTTATCAGGGACTTCCCCACACACAGCCAGAAACTCCCCAAGGCCAGATCTGCCTTGTTATAATGGAACACACATGAAGAAAGGCTAGATGTTAGAGCGATATTAGAGAGATTAGATGGGGTGATCTGAAACCTGGTACGTGTAGGAAGCTTGGGGCGGGGTCAGGGCTGACAACAGGGAAGACTGGAGTGAAGGTGAGGTCAAGCCTCAAATCTTCAACAGCTAAAGGGACTCCGTGATAAGAGACTAGAGCGAAGCACCTCATAATCAGCTCAGCTTTAGAGGTGCAGGCCTTCTGTTTGGGCTTCTTGCCACAGCAGAAGAGCACCACGGCCATGGCCTCCCTCTCCAGACTAGATCTTCGGGAATGCCTCCAAACCCTGTCTGTCTTGCAGTGGCTCCCCGTCTACATATTTTTAGGTGAGTGAATCCCAGGGGCTGGAGAGCACATGGGAACAGGCCAAGAAAGAGGCCAGGAACCCCCAGACGAGGAAGGCTCCAAAGAGATTATTTGGTCGGTCCTCTCTCTGGGAAGGACTGTGCCTCCCCACGCAGAGAGAGGGCTACTGTTGAGTTCATTAGATTTCTCTCTTTCCAACTGAGGGGCCCGAAGGCCGTGAGTGAAGCTGAGGTTGTTCTGGTTTAAAAGATAACCATAGCCTTGGGTGCCTGGGTGGCTCAGATGGTTAAGCGTCTGCCTTTGGCTCAGGTCATGATCCCAGGGTCCTGGGATCGAGTCCCGCAGCGGGCTCCTTGCTCGGCAGGGAGTCTGCTTCTGCCTCTCCCCCTGCCTCTCCCCCTGCCTGTTCTCTCTCTGTCTCTCTAGCAAATGAATAAATAAAATCTTTAAAAAAAAAAAAAAGATCACCGCAGCCTTCTCAAGACTGCCCGTTCTTTTTTTATTTCAAGGCTTTATTTAAATTCCAGTTAGTTAGCACATTGTGTAATATTAGTTTCAGGAGTAGAATTTAGTGATTCGTCAATTACATACGACACCCAGGGCTAATCCCAACAAATGCCCTCCTTCATACCCATCACCCGTTTAGCCCATCCCTCTCTGACCTAGCTGAAAAGAGTCATATTCAGGGATGGGAGCGGAGGTGGTGGTGGCCTGCAGAGTTGGCGTTACTAGGGAGGCAGAAGGTGATTTTCCAGTATAAAACTATGGTGAGAAAATTCTGGAAAGTCTGGGAGCTGCCTGAGTGACTCATTAGAATCTTAATAAAGTGCCAGTTGTGCAGTGGACTCAAAGCATGGCAATTATCAGTGCTGGGCAAATGGGTTGAGAGCTCTCAGCTTTTCCCAGCCAGAAACTAGGACTTCATGAGCAGCCAATTACAAGGACCAAGCTTAGAACCTGCATGGGGAGAAATGTCATCTTGAAGGCAGCTAGTGCCAATCTATGGGAGGCTATACAATCCCTTAGAGCAGAGGGTCTTAACCACAGAAATGTTAGCAGTACCAGTGAATTTGTCAGTCATAGACATCACAGGTTTGCATTTCACATGCCAGTTGTTGCAGGCATCTCAAAATTTCATTTATGCTCATGACTACCTCAAAATTCCAGTACTTATTGGAACCACCATTAGGTCTGGTTATTTAATGCGTAAACCAAGAAGCCCAGGTCACTATATCACATTTTTTTGTAATGTTTTGAGAATTGCATTGTAATATGATGCATTTCCTTTGTAAGTCTGTATATTTTATTTTGGGTATTTAAGATTATTTGGAGAAGGGGTCCCTGGGCTTCACCAGACTGCCAACGGAGTCCGTGACCTCCAAAAGGTGATGACTTATTGAGCCTTATTGAAATCAAATCATGCGGAGCTCTTAGTCTATCTATGGCCTACCTCTAACTGTATTAAGAAAAAAAAAGTGAGGGGCGCCTGGGTGGCTCAGTCGTTAAGCGTCTGCCTTCGGCTCAAGTCATGATCCCGGGGTCCTGGGATCGAGCCCCGCATCGGGCTCCCTGCTCCGCGGGAAGCCTGCTTCTCCCTCTCCCACTCCCCCTGCTTGTGTTCCCTCTCTCGCTGTGTCTCTCTCTGTCAAATAAATAAAATAAAATCTTTTTTTTTTAAAAAGCGATATTTCTGGAAACTTGTTTCTAGTCTTTCATATTTTCTTTTTGTTTCCCTTTGCGTTTATCTTAACTTCCTCAAACAGACCCCTTTGACAAGTTCCAGCCCTCAATTAGGAAAGTGAGGGGCACAGGAATGTCCTCAAAGACTTGGCATCGTGATGACAGCCACCATTTCAAGTCTGGATCCCAGAAAGAGTGGGCCAACATGGGGATTAGAGAGCAGGGAAAAGACGTCCAGAGAGGAAGAACTGTGTAAGCTGATCCCTATAGGGGTGGGGTCTGTCCCACCCCAGAGAGCCTTTTCGTGTGGTATTCAAACACAAGTGCCCAGACTGTTCTGGCTCCCCTAGGGAGCTCTCTTCAATAAAATGTTTTCATTTTTTGACCACAAAATGATTTGTTTTTAAGTATTTTTTTTTCTCTCTTCCTCTCCTCATCTCAAAGGACACTGTCTCTAGACAGGGATGAGGATAGAGGGCGTATCCAACACTGAATATGTAAGGGCCCAGAGGTGAGAACCTAGGAGAACAGCCTCCTAATAATGCCCACCCCCATCTTAACTAGGCACCGGTCATCCTGGAAGAGCTGGAGGGGTGTGGAGTGGGGACGTTAGGGACCAATGATGGCACCTACATGTCTTCAGTGAAAACACTAATAACAGACGTGAATGTTTTGTTTCTCTTGTCTTTTTGAACGTTTTTAAAAATTGTGGTAAAATGCACATAACATCCAATCAATCGTTTTAACTATTTTTAAGTGTACATTTTAGAAGCATGAAATACATTCAGTGTTGTGCAACCATCACCAACCACCAACTCTTTTCAGCTTGTGAAACTGAAACTTCTTTACCCATTAAACAAGAGCTCACCATTTCCCCTTCCCCCAGCCCCTGGCAACCACCATTCTACTTTCCATCTCTGTGAACTTGACTCCTCTGGGTACTTCATAGAAGTGGAATTATGCACTCTTTGTCCTTTTGCGACTGGCTCATTTCACTTACCATGTCTTCGAGTTCTACCTGTGTTGTAGCATGTGACAGGACTTCCTTCCTTGTTAAGGCTGAATAATATTCCATTGTGTGAGTATTGTAAATAATGCTTCTATAAACATGGGTGTTCAGATATATCTTTGAGATCCTGTTTTCAATTCTTTTGGATATATTCCCAGAAGTGGAATTGCTGGATCATATGGAAATTCCATTTTACATTTTTTTGAGGAACTGCTATACTATTTTCCATAGCAGCTCCACCATTTTACATTCCCACCGACAGTGCACGAGGGGTCCAATTTCTCCACATTCTCTCCAACACTTCTTTATGTTCTGGGTTTGTTTTTTTGTTTTGTTTTTTGTTTTTTGTTTTTTGTTTTTTGTTTTTTGTTTTTTGTTTTTACCAGGAACCATCCTAATGAATGTGATGATATCTCATGGTGATCTTGATTTGCATTTCCCTAATGATTAGTGATGTTGAGCATCTTTTCGTATGCCTGTCTGCTTGTTGTCCATTTGTCTCGACTTCTTTTAAATTGATTATCATTCCATTTGTCTTCCTCTACTAGTTTAGATGCTAGACATCCTGTTTCTATTATTTTAGTGATTATGCTAGAAGTTACAACATGAATCCTGGGTCTTGGAGGTTACCAAGGTAGCTGTAACACCTAACAGTGTGAGATGCCCATAGAGGTGCCTAAGATATTCACATCTGTTCAAGAGTTATAGAGCAAATACTAATTATAAGACAGCGACTGTCCTTGTCGAGACTACAGTGAGTCAAGTACCAACTCCTTACTATCTAGGAACAAAGATAAAGGAATCATTAATTCCACCACTGTACACAGTTTATGCATCATGCTGACACATACACAAGTCACTACAATGGAAGACAGACTGTAGTAAGTGAAAGGAAGGGTCACAGTGAAGTAATATTAGGGTTTCAGGAGGAAAAAAACATTACACCAAGTTGAGGCGCTCAGGAAGGCAGAACAGAGAAACAGTGAAACATGGTGAACAGGACGTGGATTCTGGAATTTGTCACACTTGGACTACAATTAGCTGTGTGACTTCCAACAAGTATTGTGATCCCTCTAAGCCTCAGTATCCCTACCCTCTCAGCTTGGTCTACAGTACATGCTCCATATAGAAAAGTGTTCCTCCCTCCCTCCCTCCCTCCCTTGCCTCTCTCTCTTCTCTCCCTCCCTTCTTAATTTCCTTCTTCTCTTTCTCACCCGCTTTCCTTCATTCCTCTGTCTTTCTCAGAGCCTCCCTCAGTGCCTCTCCTCCCCAGATGATGTTCAGAATCATGGCTGATTATTGAGCGTCACTGAAAGTAATGGGAGACAAAATAGGGGGAAAGAGGAGAAAAAAGTTTGGGGGAGAGGTGAAATACAAATACTCATGAACCTTAGAATTAGCCAATGGCCCTGACAGCCCTCCTGAGGGCCAGCTTCCATTAGAGGATGGCTCTCCATCTGTCTCCTCTTTTCTGGGCTCGTATCACCATCTACCTAAACTGTTGCAATATCCTCTTTCCTGGCCCTCTACCTTCGACTTTCTACCCTTTCCAATCTATTCCACTGCTTGCTTCCAGCAGAGCCTTTAGAAAACATCTTTGATTACAGCCCTCTCCTGCTCAAAAATAGTCAGTGTTTTCCCACTGCCTACTCAGTGAAGTACAAATGTGTTAGCCTGGGCATTCGAGGCCCTCCTCCACTCTCTGGCTCTAACCTTTTACCAGCTCATCACCCTACTCTTCCCCTATATGAAGCTTGTGTTCCAGGCAGGCTATTCACAGAACAAATGTAAAGGGTACTCTCCCACTCCTTCACCTCTGCTCTGACTATTCCCTCCACTAGAAAGATGCTTTGATCATTCTGGCTGGACTAATCATGGACAACCCCTCCTTTGAGATATTGCTCAAGTCATGTCTTCTCTGCAACATTTCCTAGACAACCCAAGACTACATAACCTCTGAAAGTCCAAAGCAAGTTGTAAAAACAGGTTAGGTAACAGCCCTTATATCCTTTGCCCCCTCTATCCAATAAGCCCCATGAGAACAGGAGCCAGGTCTTGCCATGGTTATATTTCTCACAAAGCCAGGCTTGACATTAAATTAATGATTCTGGGGCACCTGGGTGGCTCAGTCAGTTGAGTGTCTGCCTTCGGCTCAGGTCAAGATCTCAGGGCCCTGGGGTCGAGCCCCGCGTCAGGCTCCCTTCTCTCTACTCCCTGCTCATGCTCTCTCTTGCTATCTCTGTCTCTCTCTCAAATAAATAAAATCTTTTAAAAAAAATAAAATAAATTGATGATTCTTCTAGATTCCTTCTTACTCAGTAGAGACCTTAA